AAAGAGACAGGGTGTGCATTTAAAATTTTATTTTACAAATTCAATTCCCTTGTGACTTCTTTATCCTTTAAAAAGAACATGTGCTTTTTCTGTAACACAGTCTAGATGCAAAGAAAAGGAAGAGCTAGGACACCTGTTGCTCTGAGTGAGTGATCCTGGTCTTGGGCACTTTCATTCCTAAAAGGAATTAGTGTTTGTAAGGCAAAGGGATTTCGCCAGCTGGGACCACGGTAACCATGGCTGTGTGCCTTTCAAACATTCTCAGACTTATTTTATCCAGTTACCAAATACTTTCTACCACCTTGGTGACTGCCTTAGCAATAAAACACAAAAGCAAGGGCTCTGCTTGAAAGCAGTACAGCCACCCGCTTTAGCACTTTAACTTGGCAATTTACAGAACCTGGAGGGCTTTTGGTGTTAGCAGGGAGAAACAGTTACTAGTTTTTCTAATTTTTCAGGACTATTTCATGTAATAGCCTATAGCCTCTCACACCATAGCCTTGGCATAGATTTTGTTATCGTATTAGTAGTATATGACCATGCCAAAAGCCTTTTGCTATGAGAAATTCAAACTAAAACTTTTTTTTTTTTACACTTCTTTGTTTACAAAACTTGGTATCCATTCCTGTCTGCATCTACAGAAAGCAACTGTTAAAAGTTTCAGTAAGAGAATAAAAACTAAACTAAACAGTTTCTCAGAAGAGAAAGTGATAGCCTGTTTCACATTTTAACATGAAAAATATTACTACAAACTGTAACGTTTTTTGCAAGTTCACCTCCTTATTCCAGCAAAGGAGGTCAACGGATAAATGTGCTTTGTAAGCTGGTCCAACCCATCAAATGAGCTATAACACAGTTGTTTTCTCTACGGAAAAAATTCTGGTCAGAACTTCACATTTTCTTCAAGGAATTTCAGATGGCGTGCCTTCGTGCTGTAACTTGCATACTTGTCTCCCATGTGCTCCCGCAACTGCAGCTATTTAGAACACAAAAAACAGCCCCACAAAACTTATTGACAGTGAAAAAAGCAGGAACTACGAAAACATTAACAAAAAAAATACCAAAGCTTTCAACTGAAAGCAGCATGTGAAGTTTGACAACATAGATGGGAGAGGAGAAAAATGCAAGTGTCGTCATTGTCTGACGGCAAGGGAGTTCCAAATAACACTCAACAATTTCCAACATAAATCAGATCTTCACAGGTTGTACTTACCCATTCAGTACTTCATTTGTAACCAAGTTTTGAATCAAATAAGCTAGAGGTATTGCTCACTCACCTCTATTAGGAACAGACATTAAACCGTTTCTCGCTTTGGACATAAGCGGCATTAGGCAAGTAATGTGAAGGTAAAAAATTACAGTTCAAAATAAATTGTCCTTGGAGAAACAACACAGAAAAATTATTCACATCCCTTGCATCCTCCACAAACTGAGCAACCATGGTACAATTCTAAAGCTCCTAAGCTTTCTGAAGATCTTGTGGTTGAGCATAGCCTACATTCAGAATCAAACTTTTTAAGTTTGAAAAGACAATATGCTTAGGCCCTTGCCTGCCAATAACTCATAAACACTTTGGAATCAAGGTTTGCACTACTATATCAATATCTGAAAAGGGAGTAGGAAAGTAAAGGCCCTGCTCATTTATCTAGGTTTATAAAGAAATCAAACAATTTTAATATGAAAGGCATTCACCTCTCTCTTGACTTCGTCATCTTCTTCCATGATGCTGTATACCTTCTCAAGAAGTTTCACTCCCAATCCTTGGACCACATCAGATCTCAGGATTTCAACCATTCTCCTAATCTTGTCAGGAACTGATAACATGTCTATAAAGAAAAAATAAAAATTAGTCAATACAGTAGTAATTACTTCTAGTATAGTCAGTTTTCATACTCTGTACAGAAGAATATAGGATGACGTTCCAAGCATTGCCACAGAATTCTAGCTGACCGTTTGCATGAAGTAACTCTACCTGAACTGGCTAGCTAGAATGATCAATCATGGTGAACTGGAAGTACTCAGATGCTAACTCTTAAGACACTGGACAGTACAAAGTCAACACAGAAAAGTGCACAATTAGGTCTCTCTAACTTCATTTCAGGTGGTTCCTGTCTACTCTATTACTTTTCATTCAAATAATATTTGTACTATTCTCTAATGCTGTACCACCCCTCAAATACTTCAAGAATAATTCAATCACTTGTACTTACAGCAAATTTAAAACAAGTTTAATCACTGCAAAACACTAATGACATCGGTTCTGCCATCTGCCTGTTTATCTCAACAGTCTTTGAATCTTTTACTCCTCAGCTGAAGCTGCCAACAAGAGAGAGTAATTTTATAAGAAGAGGTCTCTATTAGGAACTGAACTGAGAACAATAGCTTGCTTTTTTTAATCGCTGAAATCACCAACACTCCTTTGCAGGATGGATCACTCTCTGAAAATAAGATATCTGATTGATTAAAATAAGTCTCTACTTAGAAATGCAGCAGCCCTGTCATCCCAAATGGCAGTAATTAAATAGCTGGAGGATCTCACTATACAATCCTTAAGAGAGAAAAAACAGGCAGAAAAATTATCACTGAAGTTTGTGTCAATACCTTTGACATTCGATCGTACCTGTTTAGGGACAAACTCTTTCAATGTACTTTACTTCAGCTGTGCAGAATCAACTTACCAGAGTAAAATCCAGTGTTCGCCCACTGCTTTGCCTGTCACCAGACTAGTTACAAGTAGAATCCTTGTTTAAAACACGTAAGTACAAGAAGGTCTGAGACTTCAAAAACCTGTCCTCTGCTTTTTCACTTGTTCTTGTTGCACAGTAAGTGCAGTCATAGCAAATACAATTTTTTTCTTGCTTTTTGGAATACATATACATACTTAAGATCTAAACCAGACCTTAAACATGAAAAGTGATTCGATTCTTGCACCTGTATCTGTAGGAAAAAATAAGCTTGCCCAAATTCTGCAAGGAGAATCAACTTCCATACTCACAGAAACCTCCACTGTGTTTAATGCTTTGAGCACAATTCCAGCTTTATCCATAATTCACAAAGTTTTACAGCTATCAAATCATTTGAATGCCTTAAAAATCTTATTTCAAAATACTCAACTCCAACCGTTCATTTTGGAAGCTTTTAAGTCACATAGGGAAAAATTATATTGCAGACCAGCTTGGCCTCTTCGTTAATAATTACACAGATTGATCACACGTTCCTTTCGTTGGCAAGTAAACCACAACTAGAGCAGTTTTACACACAAAATTATTTATAAAGATGTTTACTTCTACAAGAATTGTTGAGAAATACGGGTGGATTGTCTTCTGTCGCCCACTAATAGATTTTGTTGTTAGCAGTTGAAAACCATTCATTTAGAGCAATAAGAGAGCAACAGACCTGAAGGAATCTCTTCAAATTTTAATTCCTCTGATTCATCAGGTGATTTTCCATGCAAAATCAAAGTGTCCCGATATTTTCTATGGAGTTTAAACTCTGGGGCTGGAGTCGAGGTTACACAGTATTCCGAGTTGTCCTTAGAGTCCATTTTCAGTGTCCAAGTCATTAGCTGCACCAAGTCATCCACTTCATTCACATTGCTTTTTCTAGTAGAGGAGAAATAAGGTGTAATTCAGTCACCATTCATGATGCAGCTTCCACCTTGTGCTCAGAGAATTTTCAGTTTAGCAAGTATATACACCCTACTAAGTATATATAAGTGTGTGTATATATATATATACACACTGCTAAGTATTCCATGTTAAGTTACTTTCTGTGGTGCAGTTTTATCAATAACAATATTTTATCTAACAAAGGCTCAGAGCCCGTTCACCTAGCAACAATTCACAATCCTATTGGCTACTGCTACGTGTGTAGCTGCACCTGTGGAAAAGCTGCTTACACTGACAAAATCAGAAATAAACAGCTTCATTCACAGTGGAAAGGAAGCACACTGGCACCTTTGAACTCATGCTTTTAATGCATCCTGACAGTGTATGTCCTTTAATGCCAAAAGACTGGTTTTCTGGGAAGCTACAGTCGACAAAAAACACATGTCCCAGAAAGTTCAGCATGGAAAGTTTATAGTCACAGAGAGACAACAATTAAATCGAGTTTGTTTTCTTTACGCATCACATACTTCTTCAGTCACTCACTATGTAAAGTGTGAAAGCAAATCCTGCCGTTTTTTTTTCCACTCCAAGTCGAGGTCCAATATAGCAGTGAAAATTCTTGCACAGTTTTAAACAAAATACTTACTTCTCCTTGGAATCTCCATCAGACTTATCTGTCGAACTTGTGGAAGAGCTTAACTCATCATCAGACAGGCAGTTGGTTTCTCTCTTTCTCTATTTA